CAGGTAAAATCCACTATCTAACTCCGTTAAGTTCCTATTCATTGATTCTTAATATATGATGTGATAAGATTGCATTTGAATGTTTTGCAGGATCGGTGAAAAGAAAGGAAGCTTGATAAGAGAGCAAGATGAATCTAATCACAAGAGATGGATCTCGATCGCATGGACTTGAAGATTGGATTTTGAGCTTAGATAGTTTATGATAGAAATTTTCCTTTTACATAGTTTTCAATAGATTTTGCATTGTAAGGACAAATGTTTTTCCGCTGCTTTTATAAATAAAATAAATTTTGTTTGACTTATTTATTTATTTGTTTACTTCCTTGCAATGAAATCGTTATGAAAATTGATGTTTGCATATTTCTACAACGAATGGATATGATTCTTAGTTATGTTATTTATGGAAATGTCGAGAATTTACCAAATAGGGAGAGTTTCTCATCGCCCAAAGTTTCAATTGGACTGAAATTTGGAATCACGCAACTTGGTTGCATGATGAATGAGAAATTTCATATTTGGAAATTAGACAAATTCGTTGACAAAGTGTCAAGTGAAGGACTAGGAGATCGAGTACACAAAGTTGTGTGTTGATCAAGTTCACCATAAGAGTAACAAAGATATTCGTCATGATTTACTAAAGGTTTAGTAAATATGATTATACTTACAGGATTAAGTGTAATTCTGAATTGATTAAAGGTTTAGATCAATAGTAGAACGAATAAGAAGAATCAAGTAGGCAGAAAAATAAAAGTTTCTCCATTCTAAGAAGAAGGGAGAGTAGCTTTTATGCTTTATGATAGATCTTAATGATTAAGAACCATATCTCAATTGATCCTCTAAGTGAGTCTTAGTACAATTGTATTTTAAGAAGAGGAATCAAGGATTGAAGAAATGGTTAAATCAAGAAGTCTATCATACTTCGTTCCAATAACAAGTCTTAAAGTTAAGATTGTGACAATGAGTGAAAAGTATTAAAGGTTTATAACATTCATCAAATGTGGAAAGTTGTGATGTCTTGAATAAGACAAAGACCGACTAGGACCAATTTATGAAGTGTTTTGATAAAAACTACACTAACTCTTGAATATTTGTTTGTCAAGAAATGTTATTGACAAAGAGATCTTATATGTCAAGGAGTCAGTGGGAGTCCTTAATGGTCTTGAAAGGTTTCAAGAACAAATCAAAAACCTTATTAATCATCACTAGCACACGAGTTGAGGTTTACAACCTATCGTGTTGACATATTTTGATTCTGTGCTGTTCCAATTGAGTTAATTATGCATGTGAGTCCTATGAGTTCTCATTTTGAACGCATAAAAGGCAAAGCACCTTGATCAATGAAAGGTACATTGATAGGAAAAAGGTGAGCTGCTTAACTACTTGGAAGACGTGGTGGGCAGCTGTGCTACCATAAGGCAAGAAATCAAGATTAAGCTCGGTCCATATGAGTTTGAATTTGTCGTAAACTTTGGTTTTAACAAATTCACATGGATAGGAACAAATACACCATTTAAATCTAAGTGTCATAAGATTTCCTCCTTCATGAAAATGATTGTGAGGAAATGCTTTCACTAAGAAAGATTTTAAAAGATAGTGATTGTAAAATTGCATTCTCAATTCGATCATGGTTACGGTATCCCTTTCCATAATTTGAATTGTGAGGTTTGGCAATTAGTCTTAATTGTTAGACACACATATGAACTATCTAAGGCAAAGGTGTATAAGTTCAAGAAGCCTTGATAAAAGATTATCAAAGCATTAAGTATTAGAAACATGGACTTAAGAAATTCAATAGGTATTGTTTTTCTGAAAGTTAAGATGTTTATGAATACATGTCGAAGCTAGTGGGAGCATAAGTTTTATGTTTTATAGTAATCATCATGATAGTGGGAGCATAAAAGTTATGATTGTATGATTATTATGGAAAGTTTGCAAGTTGGCAATATTAATTATAGAAAACAAGAGTTATACCTTGCAAAGTCGTAAGGGTTGTATAGTTGTTTTGCTATAATTAAGGGAGAGAATATTATGCTTCATTTCAAATCTAAAGGCTTAGGTTGAGAAATGTTAATAAATTTAGTCAAAGGTACATAGTGTGTTCTTAAAATTTCGATTATGATTACGAAATTCCTTTTACAATTCGAATTTTGAGAACATATAGCAAATAAAACATTGTGCATCGTGTCCCATACGCTTCGGGTATAGGATCGATTGCAAATGCTTTAATGTTTGACCATTCTAAAATTTTCCAAATGTCTAGCGCATTTAGAGGGAAAAGGGACTAGAATTGGTTTTGACTAAAATAATTAAACAACTATCAAAGGACAATCCAAAGTTCGACGAGGATTGGTTGCTTGTGAGTAGTTGGAAGCATGGTATTGGATGGACCATATTGACATTATTATGAATAGATAAGATTCTATTAAGAAATGAGTTGTCATATGGAAATATGGAAGCGTGTCCATATGGGAAGTAAATATTGAAAATTTATGACTAGATTAGAAACTTTATGCAAAAGGATGTTCAAAGGAATGTACTTTGAGTGAGAGACATCATATCTAAGGAATTGTCTTGTAACAATTTCCGATAGAAGACTTTGTAATATCATTGGCAATAGTCTTTGTGACTTTGGTGCAGTGACATTATGAAAGAATCATTGCATAGATGTTAGAATCTAGCATATTCTATAAGTAGCAAGAATTTGATATTCTTTCACTTATGAAAAAGGATTTGGAGTTGTGAAATGAGAATGATTGGAAATGTGTTCAATGAGATCTATTTCACAAAGTAAGAACCATAGGTAAACATTGTGTGCATGCTAGGAGCATGGGACAAGTGTAATAATTCAAGTAAGAAGTTGATACCCGAAACGACAAATAATGAGTAATCGATATGGTGATAAATAAAAGGTGTTTTATTTATGCTCAAAGGGTTGAGGCCATATGGGATTAGTATTATTCTTGTGTTTCACTTTGCATGTTTTGACTTCCAGAATAATTGAGTTTATTAAGAATAATCTAATTATTCGAACGGGCCACAGTCGTTCATATGTTGGAAGTAGATATGAATGAAGACTGTCGTGAATTGGTGTGTAAATTGTCTGAAAGAGTATTAGACATAAGCAAATGTTTGCTGCAACGTTCATGAGTGCTTATGAATATGAATTTGAGCATTGGATTAAACCCACGCTCGCTTGGATCACTCAATGAATTGTATCACGAGTGATTGGTGAGACGATAACATCTTATATTCTTGAAACTGAGATGTGTGAGTTGTATCTTACTAATCGGTTGCACGTTGATAATATGAAAACGAACTAGTAACTTGGTGTTATAAAACATATTGTTGTGTGTGATTCGGTGAGTGAGTGCAAGCAAGCATTGTATCAAAGTTTATCCGTTCCTTTTATCCAAAGTAGGATAAAAGCGATATCTTTGGGCCCCTCGATGGTTTAGTGATGACAAACGTAAATGCTCAGCCGGGCTAGGGCTAATTTGATTTGTTCAATTAGTCAGTCGTCATAAATCAGAAATCGAGATATAGTACAAAGAGAATGATTAGAAATCATATCTCAGACGATATCTAGAATGGAGGAATATATGATCCCTTATCTAAGGACACGCGTATCTGATAGGATCAGAGTTGACAGCGGCTTTGGAAAGCTACGATTGCAGATCTGGATCTGGATCTGAAGTCATACGCATAATGGTTATTAGACTAATCCAAGTGGGAGACTGTTGGATTAGTGTCTAAGTCCATAACTATTTTGGTATGTACTTGACCCGATGGTGCATGGTCCTTTTGGGTTGCCTTCACCAAAGCAACTTGATAGGATGAATTATGGAGAGAAAGGACTAAATATGATTTATTAATATATTATGAGAATAATATATTAAAGGAGAAATCATATTGTTTAATTAATATTAGTCAATAATTAATTGGTAATTAGTTTTGTGACTAAAAGAGATTAATTAAACTTAAGGGACTGGAATTGTAATTATAAGATAATTGCAATTTGGGCCATGGATTGCCTTGTATCAAGGGTTGGACGAATTCTATGGGGAAGCTCATAAGGAAATCGTCCAAGGGCTTGATTAAAAGGAGTCTATGGGTTGCTTAGGGCTTAAGCATCAAAATTAGGGTTTCCTTGTTAGATAACCCTAATAGCCCAACTATATAAAGACCCCTTAAGGCTCAAAAACGTGGTGAAGCTTCTTGTTAGGGTTTCTACACGTTTTTGGCAGCCTCCAACCTCTTTCTCTAGTTCATCCTCTTGCTTATGGTGTTTGCGAACCATTAGAGGAGTGACACTTGTGACTCTAAACCTTCCAAAGTCAATTCAAGGTGGGATTGGGATTGTTATTGCTACATAGCAATCAAGGTAACATTATAAACTCATTCTTATGTTAATATGATTACTTGCATGCTAGAATTAGGGTTTATAGTCTTGGATTCAAAGCATGTACAATAGAGAAACCTAGATCCAAGCTTTAGGGTTTGTATGAACATATAGGATGTCTTATGACCAAAACCCATCAATATTAACCCTAATTTGTATACAATAAAATGATAAATTTTGTTGAATTCGAAGATTAGCAAATTTTTAAAAAAGTAAAGGTGTTATTGTTGGCATCGTAACATTAGCAATTTTTTAGAAAAATAATGATGTTATTGTTGCTTCGTATATTTCTAGCCCTTGAGTCGTTTGATAACGAATTTTACACGCTTCATACTCAAATTTTACGTTGACTATCGAAATAGTTGGAGGCTTGGAGCTTGATAATGAAATATGAAGACTATAATTAATAATTCAATCATTAATACCGATAATCTATCAAACCGCATATATAACGCTTTGTATAGAGAAATCCACACACATACCTCTATTTGTTTATCGACTAATTATTAATAAAATACATACATACGTACATAACTCGTCGATGATTCTATCAATTTAAAACAGTGCCATGGCGATGTCCGTATTTGTGCTTGAACTCCAGTCAGCTCTTCGGATCGAAACTATCCGATTCTCCAGATAAGATTATGTCCTCTTGCTCCGAGGGATCATGCATGAGCTTTTTCTCGAACTTCCCGCATAGATAACGTCCGAATTTGAGTGGATTAAGAGTATCGAATAAGTAACGCTTGATCATCGGACGTACTACGGGAAACTTTGTACGCGGCGGTGGATCAGTCGTGTTAACGTCAGGGGTTTCATCGCCGTCAGCAACTGATACCGGCGAGGACTTAGATACATCAGTCGAAACGTCGACAGGATCGAGAAAGACATAAATGGTGGAGACGGCGAATAACAAAAAAACTATGAGGTAGATGTGTAAGCTGATCGGCTTCAAAAATAACCATTTTTTATTGCCGAATATTTCCGGCGCCGGCGACTCCTTAAATACAGCAGTGAAAACGACGATAAGATCCATAACGAGACTAGGGTTGGAGACGGCAAATATCAATAATGTGAGGACGATGAAGAAGGTGATCTTTTTCTCCATGATTATGCTGGCGCAGTAAACTCTGTGTGTGCGCACGCGCGTGTTTATGTTAGTGTACGAGAAAGCAAAGGGAAGTGGTTTGATTAAGAGATAGGGTTAAAATGATCGATGTTTTGATAGAAAAAGAAGCTGAGATTCGTGAATAGTAAACCAGAAGTTGACTGTTGAAGGTAAGACACAAAGAAGAAGTATGCAATATCGAAAACTCGAATTGTCTGAATCAGAATACATGAACAAGCTATTTAACATAAAGAAATCATCTACCCACCGCCACCTAAATTTACTAGGAAATGATAACTTAGAACTACGATAAAAATAGAAAGATATTACTAATTGACTTGGATTAATTCAACGTTAAAATGAGTATAATAAATCTTATTCTAACATATTTGCGGGTTTATACGAAAGATTTTTTTTTTTCATTTTGAAAAATGAAATTGTAAGATTATTATAACATTTGTACTTATCTAGATGTTTGGTATCAATGGTTTTGACCAGTTAGTAGAGGGTGTTTTACTTAGTTTTTGTGGATAAAAGTTTTTTTTTTTTTTCAAAAAGATTTTTTACAAAAGTTGTTTTTTAAAATGTGTTTGGATTAGTTTTTGAAGAAAAAAAAAAAAATCAAAAGTTAAAATGTTTAGTTTAATTTTTACATGCAAAATGATTAAAAATAACATGTTAACATATTTATTGGGGGTAGATAGAGCTATAAAAGTAATTTTAATGTTCAACACTATTGAAAAGTTAAAGTCGTTATTTCGTGACTTTTCAAAAAGATCAAATTTACTCTATTGGAAAAGTCACTTTCAAAAGTCATTCTCATCTTCCCAAACATCTTTTTAACTATTTCTAAAAGAAAAAAATTAAAAGTCATTTTAGAAGTTAAACCAAACACCCTCTAAAAGTTACCTTTTCAAATAAGAGGTTCTGGGTTCAAATCTTTTAGAAGAGATAGATGACATTTAAAAATATGTTAGCTAGTTTGCCATTTAAAAAATAATAAAATAAAATAAAGCAGAAGAAAATAAAATCTAGACGTTTGTTTTCTTGGAAATCCTCTTTTGGCTGATTTTGTATGCACTCGGATAGATAATCATAAATTATTTTGTATAATTTTTTTTTCGAAACAAGTAAAAATTTCTACACATCTATTTCTCTAAAAAGAAATTGGAATCAATCTTTTAACGTCTGCAAATCACCTCTTTTAAGATCATCCACAATCTATTGAACTTTAAGGAGTTCAATGGATTGCCATATCACTGCCATATCAACATGGTAGTTTTTATTCAGTTATACTCTTTAACATCCACATTCCATTAAACCCTACAAAGTTTAATAAATTTCAATATTTGGTTTGAAATTTAATTGAAAAAGAAAGATTAAATCCATTGAACCACTCAATGATTATGCAACTCTCTCATTCAACTCTCAGCCATGTCATCATTCACACTCTATTAAACTTATATTCAATCATAATCATCATCTATTCAACTCTTATTAGACCTCCATTATGGATGCTCTAACCTTCTAAACCACTACAATATAAACTGTTGGGTTTTATACGAACAATCTTATGTATACATGCAACCCTAATTTTGGATCTGTGTTTTCACTATTACACATACAACAAATGAACACAAAAGAAAAACATAACATGCATCTAAAATTTCAAAAATACATAAACAAAAGATTAGAATACATACCTTTATTGCTATACATTAATAACAACTAGTTTCTTGAATTCCCTTTGCTCTTGGGAACAAGTACCATAAGTGTAGTACCTCTAATGTCTCACAAACACACTTGAGTGAGAGGATAAATATGAGAGAAAGAGGAGAGAAGCTAGCTTGCTCTAGAAATCGTCTCTTTTAGGGTTTCTCAAGGGTGGGATGAAATTTTAAGCATAGAAGGTCTATTTATACTTGAGGCTAGCTAGGGTTTCAGGGTGGAAACCCTGATTCCTTAGCTTAGGGCCTAAGCAAGTTCATGGACCTCCTTGCCTTAGGCCTTGGACGAAACTCATAGATCCTTCTATGATTTTCGGCCTAGCCCTAATAAGGGTGATCCAATGGCCCAAAGCCTCAATTATCAAATAATTACAAAACATCCCCTGTACTTTGAATTAGTTCCTTTAACCCTAAAATTAATTCTAAATTAATTTTTAATTAAATAATAATTAATAATACGATTCCAGATTAATATATTATTCTTATAATATATTAATAAATCATATTTATGTCTCAATTTATTATTCTTAACAATAAATCAGCCTCGCTCCTTAACAGTCATCATGTCCAGTCACCGGTGTGAAGATAACCCAAAATGACCATGCTGATATCGGATTAAGCACATCCCAATTATAGTTATGGGGTTAGACACCTAATCCAACATAAACACCTCCGTTTTGAAGGAATCTTCCAATGTTTCTCCTCCACTGCTGCTCCACCATTCACGAGAGAACTAAATATGTTGCTCCACCATTCACGTCCAAAGTCGTCGTCTTCTCCTCTAGAGGTTTTCCCTTTGACTTTGTTCTCTTCCATATCGTTTATGTTCTCTCTTCTCTCAAATATTGTTTCTCTATTGAGATTAGGGTTTTCTGAAATTTGATTTCTCTATTCTGCTATTAAAAGATTGATGCATTCTTTTCAATTTATTAAGTTTTCTTCTTTGGTGGTCCCTATCCCATTTATAAAATGAAACGGTAGGGGTAACGGAGGGATGTATATGTCGTGGTTTCAATCCCAAATAGGGGGTGTTTGGATAGGTAAAAAAGAGGGTTTTTAGTGCTTATTGTTTATTCCTACAACAATAAGCTAAATTTAAGTGTTTTGATAGGAATCCTTAAAAATCAACTTATTATGGTAGAGATAAGTTAAATGAGTTAATTTTAATAAGCATTTTCCCTCTTTCTTATTGCTTATTGCTTATTCCCACCGCAAATAAACGAATAAGCTATAATCTAATTTATCCACACACCCCTTAAAAGATAGAAAGCTAATGCAAATCCTCTCAGTAGCTTACTCAAATATGTTGGACAACTTTTGAAAATGTGAGGGGTAAGGTATAATGATAATGATAATTTTTATCTCATAAAAATACCACAGGATGGTGGAACAGATCTAGTTCATGGAAGCAAAGGTTGGCAAGGCTTCTGTTACGCTCTCTATGTTGCCTCATGTAATCACTCCGTCTCTTGCTTGCCGGTTTAAGTATGTAATGATTTTTTGTTGTATTTTCGGCATATGTTGGTGTTTAGTAAATCCACTAAATCAATTTAATGAGTCTTTTTAGACATTCCTATTAAATAACTACGTTTTATCCAGTAAAATAAATGAGTTAGTTATCGTAATCAACTTCTTAAACTATGTTATCAAACGGTTATTGTAACTAGAGTTTCCATTAATTAAATTAATTTAGTGAATTGTTTGTGGACATTATTAGATTTGTTAGAAAGCAAAGGAAGCAATCAATTTGTTTATAGTAGTGACTAATGTGAAAGCTAATAAGAAAGATACGAACTTTTGAGAATCATGTTTGTGTGTATTTCTTATATCAAAAACATGTGAAGCATTATTTGTATCATAATCTAAAATAGTTTCGATCATTTGAGGAGGATAGGAGGGACGTTATACATACATCCAGGGGTTAATTTGACACCGAGTTTCAACCTAACCAGTTGCATGACTATTTATTTGGCCAAAGGTGTTGTTATCAATGCCACACAGGGATCAGGTTTCCTCAAACCATGCTCTATCTATCCTCATTACAAATTTTTTACTAGTGTGAATTGTTCAAATTGATTATGAATTCATTTTGCTAGCTGCTTACGGTAGTCAACCAATTGATTTACATTTACCACGAGAGATTTAGCACTTGGATAATAGACGAATAGGAGAACAACAGTGCTTATATATTTCACAAACAAAAATTCCAATAAGATTATTGATTGTTTGCATTGTGGATTCGTACATCTCAACAGGAAATGGTCGAGTGGCTGTAAAAAGCGGGTAGGATAGTAAGGAATTGCCTATGCTCTGTTGGATTAATCGGTTTGTATATCCAAACAAGAAGCTTTAGTTTCAAGGGCAAAATAGGAAAATAGTTTTTATCTATTTATTGAGTCCATTTAGATTTCTAATTGTATTAGTATAAGGAGTTTATTTTTGTTTAGTATAAATAGGTTAATTCTCGTTGTAAGTATTCCAACCTTTTTTTTTGTTTGCTTAATAAAAGGTGTTCGTTCTTTTTGTGTAGTTTTCTTTTTTGTTGTTACCTTGGTGAACAAGACTAAGGTTTTACAGCAGCCCCTTGTTTACACTTGGTATCATAGCGAGGTGAAGACGTTGCCGGTTTGAAAGTCGGTTTCAAGAAAACCGTAGCCTTTCGTTGTGGGGCAGACGCAGCGGGGATCGGGTTCGGTGTAAGGGGGTGTGATTCGAGGTTGATTACAAAGCAACCCCGGATTCTTATCAGGATTATGAGAGACTAACCGGAGGCACGGAGTAAACGAACGGGAAGACGTCAAAGCGGGTGACTTTGAATCGGTTCGTTTTGCAGGTGACGGAAGACGGTAAAGGTGGTCGTGACCTTGTCTTGTTGTTCGGTGGAAAAGTGCTATCGGAACAAGTTTGATTAGGTCGGGGTTGTCAAAAAAAGAGAATAAGTTCTTGATCGGTTTGTTCATGATAAGGGGATACCGACGTAGGTGCGTGAAAAGTGGACAGGAAGGATCCGTCAAAGCAGGTGGCTTTGGATTCAGTTCGTTTGTCATGATTGAAAGAAAACGGTGAAGCGGGTAACTTTGTTTTCTTCGTCGGTAGAGTTGCCTCTTTGAAGAATGGTAATCGAAACAAAGGAAGAGATTGGAAAAACAACACGGTGTAAATATTATGGCGGTGGAAGTTCAAATCGGGTGGTTTCGGATATAGCCGGGGAGAGGTCGTGAATCCTAGAAAAGTCTAAATGGTAATGAACATCGTCCAACGGGATGCCATGGT